ACAGAAATAGTCGAAAGAACATGTTTTCAATCAAATTATATTTTGAGTTTAAGAAATTTCCCCACATATTTCCTAAGATGAAGATTAAAGTTATCATTTACTGCACTCAAATCTGTGTCGAATGAAAAGAAACATTTCCTCAAATATAACATTCAGGCATAATTATACAAGCTTTCACAATATAGAGTGACAGAATTTTCATGCAGTTATCTATTTTTTTATTCTTTTAGTAAACACATGTAGTTAATATTCATAAAATAAATATTCAGATGCATGCACACATTTACAAAGACTACAAATAAAATCTGAAAAATAAATTTCTGATAACAACAGACATTCTTAAAAAAAATCAATAACAACACTGCCATGCATAAATATTTCGAAGCTGTTTGACTTCTATTAGTATACAACAGATATTTAAATACCCCTCCGTCTTGGAATATCTTTATTATCTGGAATAATATTTATTATCAGTGTATTGTTTGGTGGATAGGCAGATTAAAGGAACTGTCAACACCCCCTTTGTAAATAAAACAAATTAAAGGTCTCCCACAATAGAGACACCCTTAACATATTGATATGAAGTTAAAATACTTAGGTCTTTAGTTTTAATGTTGACATTGTTATGCAACAGTTTTTTTTTTATTTTACAAACTAGGTTAGGCAGTCATGTAAAAAGCCTATTATTTTGTAGCTTTTTAACATTAGTCATTTTTTTTGGTTTTCAAAGAAATTAGGCTTAACAAATGTGTAACTTAGAGAAAAATGGGGTTCCTTAAAATTACTCAAATATAAAGTCCAAAATAAAAACATATAGACTTCCTCCTCTTAATTCTAGTTTAAAAGAATTATTTATACTCTGACTTTTAAATAATAAAAGGGGGGGGGAAATGTGTTTAAGAAGTGTAAAGGACTCCTCCTAGATAGTTTATCAATTATCTCTTAGATAAATATCCAACCACAAAAAAGGGTAAAATAATTTTTTAATGCGAACATTCTGCACAAAAATAAACCACAAGAAAGAACAGACATGAAATGACTCCATAAAACATTACCTTAATACAATTTTACAAGATTAGAAATATACATAATTATTTTAATGCAAATTTTGTTCTTTCAATAAATGATTTTTCATACATGTACATGTATAGTGATTACCCATGAAAATGTATCGATTTATCAAGAAACTATTGACGGTTGGGTGTTTCAGTATTTTTATGCTCAATTTCTTACTGGAATTACTAAATGCAATTCTAGTACATTTAAGTGTCAGGGTTTTTTTTTTTAAAAAATATATAAGATTTAATGAAATACTCCAGTCTTTAGTGTTTATCTTTTATTTTTTATTCAATCCTACCAATCACATACAGCATTGTGATTTTAAATGCACAATTTTCTATATTGATTTCATTTGTTTACTTTCAATATAATTGAAGATATTTATTATGTTACAGTGGCTGGAACGTTATTGTTGACAAACCAATCGTGTAGAATCGTTCGTGTATCGTGAGTGATCGTTCGTGTAACGTGCAAGATCGTTCGTGTATCAGACTCAATCGTGTGCGTTTTTAATCGTGCGAGATCGTGCGTTTAGAATCGTGTAAATTTCGTTTTGTAAGTTTTTATCGGAATGTTATTTGTAAAATAAGCATTTCCCTTGTTTGTTTTTCGTAATTTATTAATTTAATTCCAAATAAAATGAAAAAGCGCAATTTACATAATATAATGCAGAACGAACTAATTATCCCCCGTAAACAAGCAATATAGTAAGTCGTACAATATTAAGTTCTCGTCAAATAGTGGGATCAATATTGTGATAAACCGTACTTAGATCTTTAACGCCTTTATGAAAAATCTGATTTTAATTATTATTTACTTCTTATTGGGGTCAATATAATCTTGTTATCAATTCCTTGTAAATAAATATAAATATATTTTTTTTACAAAGAAATAAACATTTCTTAATGCTTACATAACTAGTTAGCCGACGAATATTCATGGACACCGCATGATTTTCGGGAGTTTTGATTATCTGACTATATTCTGTGTTTATCTCTTGAGCCTATTTGTAATTTATTTATTTTAAATTTCTGCAGACAAAAAAGTTGAATAATTGGCAAGTTTATCAGATATTGAATCATTGGAAACATAAGGATAAAATTTGTAATTATAATTGAAGTTATTCCATGCTGCCATTTTTGTTCAATCGTACCCTTTCTGCATATCATGATATCCAATTAAATCAAATTATACGACCCACATACATGTACATCGTCTAATAGAACGAACAAAATCCGTTTTTTTTTTTTTTTTTTGATCGGAGAATTACCTTAGAAATAATTATTTTTAATCTAAAATATTAAGTCTTGCATATATTTAGTTACGGAAATATCATTTTCCTTTTTTTTCTTCAAAGTCTATGAAATAATATTGATAATTCTTTGAAATCTTAAATAAGTATTAAGCCGTATTTCGTTTTGAAAATACAATGTATTGATTCCTTAATATTTTGAGCTATTATGAGTGAAGAATCGTGCGTTTGCGTTAACAATCGTGTAAGATCGTGTAACGTGTAGAATCGTGAACGTGAAAGATCTTTCGTGTAACAGGTTTAATCGTGCGTTAATCGTACGGAATCGTTCGTGTAACGTGATCGTTCGTGTAAGTTGTCAACAATAACGTTCCAGCCACTGTAATTCTTGCTTCATTCTTGCTTAAACAGCATACATTTCTTTAAATTTGTAATTCTTAATAAAAAAAACCCCAAAAATTTATACATGCCATCTTTAAAATAAAGTTTGCTTGCCTTTCCATAAAAATTAGGGTAAAATTATAAGGTCAGTAAGAAGGTGGATTTTTTTCCAGAAAATTTCAATATATTTGTTAACAGGGTAGAGGAATAAAAGGAAAAAAAATATTGTGTTTCCCGTAATGTAAAAAATACAGTTTTGAGTTGGGTCATTTTTCGTCAGTTTGTCAGGAAAAGGCAACCAAACACTTGGCCTTAATAAAGGGTATCTGCTTTTATTTCAACTAGCTAGTATTTAATGCAGATAAATACTAATTAAATAATAAAGATTTTTTGAACATAAATATTGCACTCAGCAATTTCTTTTAAAAGGCAGAAATTTTAACTGATTAAGAACAAGAGGCCCATGGGCCACATCGCTTACCTGAGAAACTTTGGCCATGCTGTTCTTTAACAGATTTCCCCGATATGTAATACAAATTGTGACCACGCCCTACCACCAGGGGTCATGATTTGGACAATTTAAATTCTACAATACCCCAAGATCCTTCCACATAAGTTTCAGCTTATCTTCCCCAGTGCTTCTTGAGAAGAAGATTTTAATTTTTTTCCCCTATATATTTCTATGTAAAACTTGGATTCCCTATTGTGGCCCCGCCCTACCCCGGGGTACATAATTTGTTCAATTGAGAATCTTCACTATTTAAGGATGCTTCCACATAAGTTTCAGCTTTTCTGACCCAGTGATTCTTGAGAAGAAGATTTTTAAAGTTTTTTCCTATATATTTCTATGTAAAACTTGGATTCCCTATTGTGGCCCCGCCCTACCCCCAGGGGTCATGACTTGAACAATTTAGAATCTACACTACCCCAGGATGCTTTCAAATAAGTTTCAGCTTTTCAGGCCCAGTGGTTCTTGAGAAGAAGATTTTTTAATGACCCCACCCTATTTTTGTATTTTCTTGATTATCTCCCCTTGGAAGGGGTCTGTGGCCTCGATTTTAACAATTTAAATTCCCCTTCACCCAAAGATACTTTGTACCAAGTTTGGTTAAAATTGGCCCAGTGGTTCTTGAGAAGAAGTTGAAAATGTGAAAAGTTTACAGACGGACGGACAGACAGACAGACAGACAGACAGCTAGACAGACAGATGGACAGACGGACGAAGAACAACGGGTGATCAGAAAAGCTCACTTGAGCTTTCAGCTCAGGTGAGCTAAAAACCCTTTCTCAGAGAATAAAACTAATTTTAAATGTATCTTTTGAATCTAGATATATTAGGACTTTTAAAATGTACTGACAGATTTCCATTGTCAATTCATATGGATTAAGGATTAAATATCCAAGCTAGATTTAACAATGACAGTCAATTTCACAAGAGAATATACACAGTCAGAGATATAGAATCCTTACAACATGTACAAGACCCACATCACCTTGAAACCGAGGCCCTGTGTCACGGTAGACATTGGTACAATCAACATCAGAGCACTGTGAGAGCAATGTTATGTAAGAGGTGTTTGTTTGATTGTTTTTTGTTTAATGTCCCATGTCACTGGCGAATATTTAACTGGTATGGATATGCCACTATTTGTCAGTGGAGGGCGCGAATCTTGACCTAAGCTTGAACTTGTAGCCATTGCTCCGGTGGGGAACTTATTCATGTCAACATCTACTGCATCACAGGACCTCGATTTATACAGCGTCATCTGCGGGACCAGTCTCCATATCCCAGTGGAAGTTTAACTCAGGATGTAAGGATTAACTCCTCACTTCAGGAATCAAGAGCAGATTAAGACCAGTCTCCATGTCCCAGTGGTATTTTAACTCAGGATGTAAGGACCAACTCCTCACTTTAGAAATCTAGCGCAGATCTGCTCTGACCACTGCTCCATGCAGATGAATGTTGGTGACTAATGTTTAAGCAGCAAGTCTGCTGCAAGCTTGCAGCAAACAAAATTGTTTGCAGGAAGAAAATTTTCTTGTTTGAAGATGATTGCCGCTAGCTGCAATCTTGCGGCAAACATTGCAGCAATAGCTGCAAGCTTGCAACAAATTCGCAGGAACCCAACATGTTTGCAAGAACATTGCAAGATTGCAGCAATGTCTGCTGCAGACTTACAGCAAATATTTGCAGGAAGGCAATATTTTTGGTAAGGGTACCCTCAAGCTCCAAGATGACTTACCCTTTGTGTTGGTTACTATACAACTGAACTTAAAATATTAATGAAGGGAGGGTCTAAATACGTACCCTCAAGTTCTGAGATGACCTTCCCTTTGTGCTGGTTATTGCCCAGTCTGGTTTTGTGACGTTTTAGCACCATATCGTTATTACTTTGAGCGTAGGGTCCTATATAAAACAACAATATACTGCAGATTAACAAGACATCTTCTGTTGATGGTTTTACCTTCAATAAAAACACTATAATGAAGAAAATTTTAAAAACATGCTTTGATTGTTCAAGTATAAAATCACAGTGTTTTCTATACAGTCATGTGAGTTTGGGTGCATTAAAAACTTATTATTTTTTATATCAACAACTTTATATCTATCTTTACCCATTATTATGTTTGCTTATTTATTTACTATAAGACTCTAGAGCACGAATTAAGCTCTGTCATAAAGTCAAAAATTCGTTGCAAGAAAATTAGAAAAATCATCATCAAATACTGCTTCATTACAAACCATCTACATACATCAATTAGATTTTCTATGCATGCTGTGTTGCCACCATAGTATCCTTCACACAAACATTAACACGTTCAATAAATTAATAAAAATTAACAACATGCTTCAGAAGATATCCATAATCTTTATATGCAATCTCCTTCACTCCTACATCTATCGATAGTGCAACAAAAAATCACTTTCTCAACTCCAAAAATGTTTTCTTTTTCATAGTAAATATATGTCAGCACTAAACAACTTATCCATCACATGTTTTTAAAATCCAAATTTATCCAGGTATGGAGGAAAATGGGGCATAAATTTTCCCAAAACTAACAAACATTTGATTAAGGTGTGCAATGGTTATACCTTTATTTGTGGAGTTGTTTTTCAAGCGCCTTGTCAAAACCATATAAACATCGCTCGTAGGCATGGGTCGATATGGGACAGTAAACATTTTCTTAAATTATTTCTCTTTAATCAATAATAACCATCGAGAGATTTAAACGCCACTTTCAAAAGGTAATGAGCCTACTTCTCCTAGATAGACTGCACAGAGCACATTCAATCTTCTGTGTTTTGCACCAGAACAAGGATTCGTTGTTGACTTATCATTGGGATTAAAGAAATCATTATAAAATGCAAATTTCATTTGGACTTTTGTATATATTTAAATGTCTTTTAGGGAGTTGTCCTTTTGCAGACAAAAACAGCTTGTATCCTTGCACATTGTGTATTGTTCATTACACTCAATGAAAGTGTCAAATAATTAATGCTCCCAGTCTGTTTTGAATTCTTCCTTGGAAACAAAACACATCAATTCCAATCACATTCAGTATCACTGCTGCTCAATTAAATACATCCAGTATCCCATTGCAGTTTGTGAAATTTTCAATTACAGAAAAAAATCCAATGTAGGAAATTAGCCAAAATGCTACATATTCCAAAATATCACTATATATAGAGAGAGAGATTAAGCTTAGAACATAAAATACATCTCACAGAACATTGCGGCTGAATGAAAAAGACAGCAGGAATAATAAATCAATACTATTCCCTGATCAGGTTACCAGGGTACCTAAGTACCCAGAGAAGATGTGCATGGGATCTTAACGACCGCTTCACCTTCAAGTGCACCGGTGGGAAATCAGCCCTGGTTAATACCAGCAATAAAGGGTGTACACAGTGTAACAATTGGATAGATTTCAAACATAACAAATCAGTTAGCCCAGATACCCAAACCTAAGAAATCAACCCTGGTTATAATCAGCAATAAGGAGTGTACATAGTGTAACAATTAGATAAATATAAAACAACAAATCAGTTAGCCTGGATACCCAAATCTAAAAAATCTTGAATCTGCTTATCCTTTTAGTATCATGAACCTTGATATCTGAAGCCAGGATTTATTGGGCCAGGTTATGTCTTAGATTTGCATGGGTTAGAAGACTTTAAGAGCCTCAAACTTTTGAAAAAAGTTATTGTATACAGGGAAATTTTGGCCCTCATTTTATTTTCACCCTTTTCACACTACCCTCAGTTGGGCAAAATTAAAATGGGGCAAATTAAAAGAGAATGTAGATTTCTTAAACAAAACTATAACTGGGCAAATTCAAACTGGGCAAAATTGTGTGCAAGTTTAAATAGGCAAAAATAACATTGGGTAAAAATAACCCCGTATTTTGAAGTATAAATCCAGACCCTGTTTCACTAATGTCATCTAGTAAGTTTCTTTGAGCCTGAATACCTTGAGCCTGAAGTAACCTTGCTACTATAATTGGAGTTCCAGGAATCTGATTACCTGACCTAAGTTACTTTGGACCCTGCTACCTTAATTGAAGTACCTTGAGTTTGAATACCTGACCTAAGTTACTTTGGACCCTGCTACCTTAATTGAAGTACCTTGAGTTTGAATACCTGACCTAAGTTACTTTGGACCCTGCTACCTTAATTGAAGTACCTTGAACTTTCATACCTTGGTTCAAGTATCTGGAGACAAAATATACAAACTCTGAGTGTCTGTATATTTACTAAGCTGTCAGTGAGATACCTGAATTTATACCACCTAAATTTATTAAAGTGATATACAAGAACTGAGTTCACCTGAGTTCACCTGACTTAGTGAGCTGAGATAACTGACCTGAGCTGTTCTGATTATCAGTAATTTCATCCATTTATAATAATCAGAAACAATCTTGATTTACAGATTCAAAGGAAGTTAATTTTTATGGCAAAAATATATCCTTTCAATGTGTTAGAATCTTCAAGAATAGATTTTTTTCAACAGACTAATTCTTCTGAGTATATATATCATTTGTTCTCAAAAAAAAAAAAGAAAAGAAAAAAATTTTATAGGAACTAGAACATTTATGAAGTGCTTCAAAATAAGTATCTTCAGAACTGTAATGTTTTAGTTGATAAGAACCGCAATTCAAACCCCAATTATTTTTTAAATGGCTATAATTCGGTAGTGAACTTTTAAGACCACTGTTGAGTGAAGTCCAGGTCACGTCACCACTTGTAACGTGTTAAAGTTTCTGTTACTTCACAATCCCAGATCTCTTAATGCTATAATCAGAGGAATTAAAGATATTTATTTGACTTGATTTACTGGATATTACTTATAAACTTTCACTTGCGACTTCACCATTTCTACTCAATTCAACGTGTACATGACCTCAAATGTAGGTAAATTCCCCTCATGATGCTCAGCTCTTCTGAGCTGAAGATTGAATTTTATAGCTTATATAAAGTACATCTGGATTGACATATAGGTTTCATATATAAATGACATTCAGTAAAATTCCTATTTTTTTCAAAATAGCTTAGTATGGAGTTAGGGCAACCTAGTTGACTTCTTATAAGACTTGAAATTAAATACAAATTTATATTTCTATTTGCTTTCTCTAAGATAACTCTTTAAAAGTTGTACATGTGAGTTGAATTCTTGATATTTCAATCAAAATGTAATTTTGTCAAGCAAAAGAGTTCAACTACTCAACTCAATGAAATCTTAAGCTACCAGTGGCAGCTAGCTGACACTTAAGTTTTTTTACACTCGATCCTCTTTTCAGATTTAATACTTTTCAGATACAGACATCATCTAATTTTCTCACCATCTAGGATTCTCTGTAGACTCGGGGACACATTCTTGCTGCGGTTGTCATCTTTTCCATCACTGCTCTCCAGATCCCCATCTTGACCTTTGACCCCATCTAATGGCTCCTCTGTTGAGTTATTATTGAGATCCCCCTCTTCAACTCCCTTTTTATCAAAATAGAAGTCAAACAAGTTAGTTTACTGAGGTTTCAGTTGTCTCTGTAAAATGGAAGTTGGTTATTTTGTATACAGGATGAAGAGAGGAAGTACAATTGGTAAAAGAAAGACTGGGAAACAGAGTTTCAGTGAAAGGCATGCATAACATGCAAAAACATGCAAGCTACCTAAACACAATGTATAGACATGTACACTTAAAATAAACTTAAGTATGTTTATATTCATCAGATAAAAAAATTGGGGATATCAATTGAAGCTTTTATTTTTATCATCATTTTTCGGAAGATGCAGATATAGCCTTATTTCTGCAGTGGTGAATCCAAACAGAGTTCTTATATTAATGAACACAATGAAATGCATGTATTTTATATTAATTTTGATTAAATTTTCAGCATATTCATGATAAAAATGTTTGATGATTAAAAGTTGTTATTATAGTCAACATATAGAATATAATCTTAGTTTAAAACCTAAATACTATGAGAGTTATGATATCAGCTGATGATCAGCTGAAATGGATGGAAGTTATATAGATAAATTACCTCCTTTATTTTCTTGTATTTTCTGAGTTTACTGACAGGAGAGAGTCGGCCATTATAAGTGGAGAAATGGATGGAGGCTTGTTCAATCTGTAATGTATAGCACCACAGATAACAGCTAACTAAAATAACAGCTAACAACATGTTAATTAAGTGGAGAAATGGATTGATGGAGGCTTGTTCAATCTGTAATGTATAGCACCACAGATAACAGCTAACTAAAATAACAGCTAACAACATGTTAATTAAGTGGAAAAGTGGATGGAGGCTTGTTCAATCTGTAATGTATAGCACCACAGATAACAGCTAACTAAAATAACAGCTAACAACATGTTAATTAAGTGGAGAAATGGATTGATGGAGGCTTGTTCAATCTGTAATGTATAGCACCACAGATAACAGCTAACTAAAATAACAGCTAACAACATGTTAATTAAGTGGAGAAATGGATTGATGGAGGCTTGTTCAATCTGTAATGTATAGCACCACAGATAACAGCTAACTAAAATAACAGCTAACAACATGTTAATTAAGTGGAAAAGTGGATGGAGGCTTGTTCAATCTGTAATGTACAGCACCACAGATAACAGCTAACTAAAATAACAGCTAACAACATGTTAATGAAGTGGAGAAGTGGATGGAGGCTTGTTCAATCTGTAATGTATAGCACCACAGATAACAGCTAACTAAAATAACAGCTAACAACATGTTAATTAAGTGGAAAAGTGGATGGAGGCTTGTTCAATCTGTAATGTATAGCACCACAGATAACAGCTAACTAAAATAACAGCTAACAACATGTTAATTAAGTGGAGAAATGGATTGATGGAGGCTTGTTCAATCTGTAATGTATAGCACCACAGATAACAGCTAACTAAAATAACAGCTAACAACATGTTAATTAAGTGGAAAAGTGGATGGAGGCTTGTTCAATCTGTAATGTATAGCACCACAGATAACAGCTAACTAAAATAACAGCTAACAACATGTTAATTAAGTGGAAAAGTGGATGGAGGCTTGTTCAATCTGTAATGTACAGCACCACAGATAACAGCTAACTAAAATAACAGCTAACAACATGTTAATTAAGTGGAGAAATGGATTGATGGAGGCTTGTTAAATCTTTAATGTATAGCACCACAGATATCAGCTAACTAAACAGCTAACTAATATATCAGCTAACTAATAACAACATAATATAAAGAAGTGGAGAAATGAAGGGAGGCTTGTTCAATCTGTAATGTACAGCACCACAGATAACAGCTAACTAAAATAACAGCTAACAACATGTTAATTAAGTGGAAAAGTGGATGGAGGCTTGTTCAATCTGTAATGTATAGCACCACAGATAACAGCTAACTAAAATAACAGCTAACAACATGTTAATTAAGTGGAAAAGTGGATGGAGGCTTGTTCAATCTGTAATGTACAGCACCACAGATAACAGCTAACTAAAATAACAGCTAACAACATGTTAATTAAGTGGAGAAATGGATTGATGGAGGCTTGTTAAATCTTTAATGTATAGCACCACAGATATCAGCTAACTAAACAGCTAACTAATATATCAGCTAACTAATAACAACATAATATAAAGAAGTGGAGAAATGAAGGGAGGCTTGTTCAATCTGTAATGTACAGCACCACAGATAACAGCTAACTAAAATAACAGCTAACAACATGTTAATTAAGTGGAGAAATGGATTGATGGAGGCTTGTTAAATCTTTAATGTATAGCACCACAGATATCAACTAACTAAACAGATAACTAATATATCAGCTAACTAATAACAACATGTTATAAAGAAGTGGAGAAATGGATGGATGGAGGCTTGTTTAATCTGTAATGTATAGCACCACTGTCAGATAAAACTAATATATAACTAAAACAACAGCTACTAATAACAATGTTAAATATTAAGTCGAAAAGTAGACTGATACTTGTAAATATATAAGGTCAACAATAAAAATTATTTGTTTGATGTTCTCTGATCATCCTATCAAAATTATATACAGTGGCGCCTCATTTATCCGGACGCTTTGGTTCCCAGGCAAATTGTCCGGATAAGTGAAGCGTCCGGATATCTGAATTCTATTGATTTCTCTTCCAGATATACTGTATTTGTATTGTAACTCTTATATACAAAGAAAGATATTAAAATGCTATCATTTAGAAATAATTAATTTTTTTTTAAACACTTATCTTTAGTATATATCAGCACTACTTTTACACTTTTTTCAAATATAATAAATTTTTTATAGCTAAAAACTAGATGCCGACTCGCGCTCTCTTTGTCGGTGGTGTAGACATGACTGTAGCTGGAGAGCAGAATGACAAACATTGGATATAACGCTGCTTATATGGGCAGATTTTTTCATTACCCAGCTTAGTTTTTACTCTGTATTTCCTATAAATTGATGAACATAGCCAAGCCAATTCTCTCATGTGCAGCTTTGATAACACCCAAGCGAGCTGTCAGTATCGGGTCTAATTTTAATATGAACATGCACTCATCCACGCTAAATCTGACATAATAAAAATTCACGCAGTAGTCATCCCAAGTGAAATCATTGATTGTCTTAAATTATTTAAATTTGATGAAATGTTTTAGTTTTTTTTCATCTTCCGATGAAAATTACACAATACCGATGTGTGTGTGCCATGTGTAGACTACGAGATTATGAAACTATGTCGTCCCGTCTATAAATAGAAAAATATTTAAAACCTGCTAAAATTATAAATATCTCAAGATAACAAATAACTGAATAGAAAATTGTTTTCTGTTACCAACACAGTTAATTGTTTATTTTCATTTGTGTATCGATCTCTCGTATATTATGACCATACCCACTTAGCATGCTTAATCTGTGGACTAATCATCGTAAGTCATTCATAACACTGGCACAGGTGATCGTCTTGTAAAAACAACCAATCCGGCCAGTGTTTTGATAACAATTATCACTCAGTTCAGGCGTGAATGTTGACTAGAATGGAAGTGCAAATTAAAATTTACCGTCCGGATAAATGAATCAATTTATAACGTAAAAATACATTTTGTAGTAAAAAAGAGCCGTCCGGATACGGAACGCGGAATTCCGGATAAATGAGTCAAAATTACGTTGAAAAAATCCGTTCCCGAGAAAAATCGTCCGGAAGGTGAAGCGTCCGGATATCTGGCGTCCGGATATCTGAAGGTCCACTGTACCTCTAATTAATTCTTTTTTAGCACTTTGATTTTCTTTTTTTTCAGTTTTCATCATATGATTTCTCCTAAGGATGCTTTTAGATTTTGTGTTATGGCAATAAATACTATATTAATCTGTATGCTAGCTATTATCATTCAGTAGAGTTATCTAGTGTGTCATGAAAATATCAATAAATAGACTGTCCTAAGTCTGTGATTTTTATGAGGTATCATTTGTCCAATACTTTTAATTGAGTAAAACCAAAAAAAAAACTACCTATAGACACGTACCTACCCACCAAGAAAAATGTTGGATGGAGTACACCTGCTGAGTAATATACAGTCTAAATTGCAAAAGTTTTTTGGATAACACTGGACATCCAGTTCTAACATTGTTATCAATGAACACACAGGACTGAACCAAATAAAAATGCAGGCTACGCCTAACAGCTTTTTTATTTCCAGGGATCACTCTCTCATCAAACTGTGGTAAGTCCATACGGATTTTGATAGTTACATGCCCTAATGTAGATTTTCCGCAACTTCCATGGAATTCCAAAGCATATTCCATGGAATTCCATGGAATTTTTGTACCGCGGAATTCTTTAGAATTCTCCGGAGTATTGGGACGGAACTTTTTTCGGAATGATTTGGAATTTTGAATCTAGCCTGGAAAAGAGCGGAACAGTGCCAGAATGGAAATTTGCGGAGGAAATCCGTGGAATTCCAGGATATTTGTAAATCTAAGGAATTCCATGGAAATCCATGGAATTCCAGGATTCCAAATTCCAAATACATGTAGAAAGAAAAATGAAATAATTAGTGCCAAATAATTACAAAAAAAATCAATAAAATCACAATGTTTCATAGATCAAATCTATATTTTTAAAATAAAAAAATTAATTGTTTCTTTTACAATGTTTTTTGAGACAAATATTGCATATGATATAACTCTCAGATGTACAATATAAGCACACTTTCATAAAATATTCTCACGGAAAGTATTTTACATTAAAGGTTATTTACAGAGAAAATATGATTACCGGAGAATTAGTCACCTTGGTTAAATTAATGATAATTATGTTATGATATACATGAATTTAGTAAACTCCAGTCTGCATTTTCTAAAATAAGAAGTAAGTTTTAATAAATGAAATTGGCTATGGAATTGGAATAGTCATTGACAACTCAACAAAGTATACATTTACAATGAACTGCCAGTGGCTTATCATGCTTATGTACTGGTACAAAGTTATTGACTAGAGTGACAAACACATGTATTACATGCAAAAAAATATTTACTACACGACTATATTGATACAATGATCCCATAAAATCAACAGATGCTATTTCCCCCCAACGCACGTGCCAAAGATCCCAATTAATGAAGATCCAAAACTTCTGACGTGTTTGCTAGAGAATCACTTCCTCACTGATATTCTATGAAATTAGCAAATGGTTATGTTAGAAGGTTGAGTCAACCTGGTTGACAGATAATTGGTGTCACGAACAGATTCACTTTCAGTACGAAGTCTCAGAAAGTTCGATGTTGATCATTCCAACAGACACTTCAAACTTTCGATCCTTACACGATTTCTGAAAGAAAAAGATGACCATTAAGATGCATCATTATTGATATCCATATAAATATATGACAAACAATAAACAAAAGCTATACAAAACAATTGATTTTTTTTTTACCTGGCAAATCAGTTTACTATGGAATATGAATTAATTCACTATCTTGCCATAGAGCTGAAACGAATACCATAAATCAACATTCGAATATTCGTGACTATTATTCGATTCGTATTCGAACATTCGGTAATTAAATAAAGGAGTTATTATGCCTTTTCATATACTTGCAAATCATATTCATAATTGTTTATTACTATATATCAGTGTATAAGATAGGTGTAAGAAATAAACGTCTGCTCCGAGCCGTTTGACATGTAATTTTATATGCATTAGGACTCGCATTTATTTTCAAGAAAAAAAAATAGAAAAAGAATCTTTATCAACAATTGTAAGCCTCTTTACTTCTTTAAATTAGGTGACTGTATTGCATTCCGATTACGTTAAACGCCCGATCAGCAAACCAGCAGGTACTCGCCATGTTTTACTGTTATAAAAATTTAAAAAAAACGGCTCGTTTCCGGAAGCGTCCTGTGAATTTTTTAATCAATATTTAGATTTAAAATGTAACATTCTCAAAAAAAATATATACCGGTAATATATAATGTATATTTTTCATACATTATTTCTGCAATTATTTATAAATTATAAATCTGAACAATCGATTCCGTTTGTTGATCCGGAATATTTCTCTCCGCACAATATAAATTTTTTATTACTTTCGAAAATCATGGCGGTCAATGTCACCCATATCTAAATTAATTCGGAAACACATGAGGTTGCTGAATATTTGGCTTGATGATTAAATAAATCTGACATCGTGTCTTTATCAGGCCAGTAGTACCACGTGGACAAAGTTTACAACCTGTCTTATACACGTACTTGCTTTCGTTTGCTTCTTTTTCCACAGAGATCAAAAACAAGTGGATAGGCCTACACCATTTATTGCTTGAAATACGTTGTATTAAATATGTGACCGAATATTCGAATACAAATTTTCCATTCGAATATTCGTGAAAAACTATTCGTTTACGAATGTTCGAACATTCGTTTCAGCTCTATCTTGCCATATTTTGTTCAAATTAGGATAAATTCTGATGAATGTATAAATGTGAAAAGTTTATAGATGACAGACAACAGCAGGCACTGATTAAAAAAACTCACTTAGGCCTTAAAATGGTTCACGTAAGCTAAAACAAAAAGGTTTGAGCTCAAGCTAAATGCCTGACTAACACTGAAAAAGATAATTTCAATTCATGTAATTTATTGATTTAGAAAATAATTCAGAAATCTTACCTTTATGTTTTTCTTTTCATACACCTTTTGTCCTTGTGAGCACCCAGATTCCTATAAACGAAATGCATGTATACTTCATATTAGATGATTGCTATTCGATCTAAAGTAATTAGGCATGTCTGTGCAGTTTTCATGTTTAGATTACCTGTCAGAATGCATTGTTATTAATTATTTGAATAAGGAATTTAAGCGTGTTAAGAATAAACCTTTAAGTTTTGTTTACTTGGCAAAGTTGCACTAATTTTTTTAATAGCGAGGGCAGTGAGCGTCGTGTAATGAGCTCAATATACTATATCGTTATGAACAGAGGAAATTTGGGTTGAAATCTTCACATCGTTCCAAGAAATTTTTATCTCACAGCGTGAAAAAATTCCAAATTCCCAATAAGTTTGCGGTGAAGAGTCAACAGGACTTTTTATTTGATGTCATACTTTTGTCACTTAAACGGCTCAGGTATTTCGGATTTTGTAGGAAACTATCGAAAATTCAGAATCTCAATCCTGAAGTGGGAATTGATTTGTTATTCTGTTCTTCTTTTTTAATGAACTGAGGATATGCAGTGCAAGTAAAATCTGTATAAAGGATTTTGAAAGTAAATAACTGCGCTCGCCCCCAACGGTAGCACCGTAGAACACATTTTTATGTTAATAGACATGGATTAATAAAATCAGAGTTAGTTAACTTGATTTGAGCGATAATTTGAGCTTTTTCTCACCATATTCACAAGCCTAGAGACTGACTGGCTAAGCATCTATATGCACCAAATTATCAAATGCCAGGGCTGAGGGGATCATCTCAGACACAATGCAGCAACAGCTATAAAATAATTAAAATAAGAGCTGAAAATGATGATGAACATGCCTTAAAATATATATAATTAATAACATTGTGCATCATACTTTCATGACTCTGTAAATGTTATCTTGACTTGAACAAAGGAACGTATAGGTAAAATTCTTTACATAAGTTCGACCCCAAACAAGGACATTTGGGTAAAAATCCATGATCTTAATGAGACGTTTAGAGTTTTTTAATAATTAATTATAATTGAAATAGTGCACTAACAATTTCACCGTCAAGCAGTTTATGTGTGGTGCCCAGACTAATGAACAGTAGCAGAAGCGTTCTTCATTCAAGCACAGGCACCTGAATTTTTATCAGTAAGTCGCTAAATAATTAAGCCAAATATCGAAAAATTCTACCCCCTCTATATATATATATGTTTATTCACCAATCAAGGGCCCACAGGGGGCATGAACAATTATTACAAAATGATAACATTGATTACAATTCTATATTAAGGATAATGTAACATGACTTGTGATTAAGTTTGACATTGAGAAGTGCATCACCACACTGGATCAAAAGCATAGGAACCATAGAATGAAAAAAGAAAACACAATTAAATAAAAATGATAGATATAAGGTAAATTAAAAAAAATCTTGTAGTAATGGCAGTAAATAGTTTTTAATACACGTGTTTATATAGAGAGGGGGTAGAATTTTTCGATATTTGGCTTATTTAGCGACTTACTGATAAAAATTCAGGTGCTTGTGATTCAAGGACACATAAAATACAGTAAAAATATTGTACCTACCGGGTCTTAAAATGTCTTCATCTTCTTCCATCTAAAGCTAATCATGATTCTCCTGTTCTAGACACTCTCTTTCTAGCCCGTACGAAAGTTCGAGGTGGAATAGGCACGGCTTGGGCACGGCTAAGACACGGAATCCGTACGGGTTTTTAAAAAGCCGCACGGGTTCT